GCCAGGTAGCTGAGGCTGGCCTTGAACTTGGCGATCCTCCTGCCTCAGCCTCCTGAGCTGCTGGGGTTGCTGGTGTGGCCGCTGCGCCCAGCCAGGCCTGTTACTTGTATCAGTTCGTGCCTCGTTGAACACAAGGGTGGCCTCCACTTTTTGGCCATTGAGAGCCACCCTGCCGCGGGCCTGTGTGCGAGTGTGAGTTCACTTGGACCCTGGCGTCCTGACTTGCTTTACACGCCCCACTCTTCTCGCACAGCCAGAGGAGGGCACATGTGCTCTGTGCTCAGAGCGCCCACGCCTCGCTCCCTCCAGGGCAGGCCCTGGCGCCCTCACTCCGGCTCGTGGCCGCGCTGGCCTGCCCTGGCCCCCGTCCTCCTCCCAGCAGGGCCGCCCGGGCCTTGGCTCTGGTGCTCTGTCATCTCCCCAGCTCCTCTCAGCTTCCGCATCCCTTGTCCCTTCCCCTTGCTGTCCCAACCCATAGGTCCCTGCTGCAAGCCCAGGAGGGCTCTGCGTGTCCCCGACATCGGGCCCAGGACTGATGCCGTTTGTGCGCCCCTCGCCCTGCAGGTGGCTGAGACGTGCCAGCTGGCCGTGCGCCGCCTAGAGTGGCTGCAGCAGCACCCCGGGCAGCCGGCGGTGGCCGGGCCTTACCTCTCGGTGGACCCAGCCCCCCCAGCTGAGGAGCGCGACCTGGGGCAGCTGCGGGAGGCGCTGCTGGACGAGACCCTGCCGCTGTTCGACCGGTACCGCGCCATGTTCGCCTTGCGCAACGCCGGGGGCCAGGAGGCGGCCCTGGCGCTGGCCGAGGGTGAGGAGGCCCCGGGCTGGGCAGCTGGGAACAGCACACCCCGGGAGCAGCCCCCTCCAGTGACCACACCTGTCGTCCTGGCTCCTTGGGGTGCTGAGGCAGGAGGGTCACAGTCCAGGGCAGAGTAGGGGGCTGGGTGCTGCCGTGCCAGAGGCCCCTGGTCCCGCCGGCTCCCACAGGCTGGTCAGGCGCCCGAGCTGCCCCGTCACGGGTGGGCGAGTCCTGGAGACAGAGCCCCTTTGGCCCCACCCTCTGCGTGCCCCATCCCTGAGCCCGTAGTGTGCCCAGTGAGTGACCAAGTACTGCCCTTCCCGCCTGCAGGCCTGCGCTGTGGCAGCGCCCTCTTCCGCCACGAGGTGGGCTACGTGCTGGGCCAGCTACAGCATGAGGCGGCCGTGCCCCAGCTGGCCGCCACCCTGGCCCACCCTGCCGAGAGCCCCATGGTGCGCCACGAGTGTGCGGAGGCCCTGGGCGCCATCGCCCGGCCCTCCTGCCTGGCCGCGCTGCACGCCCACACGGCCGACCCCGAGCGTGTGGTGCGGGAGAGCTGCCTGGTGGCCCTGGACATGTACGAGCAGGAGCGCGGGCCCTTCCAGCAGGACCCACCGCCCTAGTGCCCCGCCCTGCCCCGCCCTGCCCCTGCCGACCTGCCTCGGCCCCTTGTCCCAACAGGACTGCGGTGTCTGGAGTCTCCCCTTGGCCCTGTCCCTGCGGAGCTGCCCCCAACTCCCTCGGTGGGAGCTGTGGGCTCCTGGCCAGCATGCGGGGTGGGACCTGGGTGGCTCAGGCTGCACTAGCAGTGACGGTGGGGTCCAGGGCCCCTGGCCTCGGCCATGTGGCGTGGGAGGTGGCCCTAGGTGGGGCGGGCTCCTGGGTGCCGCCACGTGGAAGAGTAAATCATTTTGGCCCAGCAGTGGCTCCCTGAGTGTGTGGGGCGGGCTTCCCGGGAGCACTACTGCCCAACACTGCCACCTGCGCCTGTCCGGCTCTTGGGGACTGTCCACCAGCTTGGCTCCCTCCCAGGGCTCTAGAGAAGCAGCCCTGCGGCCTGCCCTCCACCTACCACCTGCTCCCGTGGGGCCACCAGACCCTCCGGGTCCCACCTGGCTCTCCAGGTCCTCTGCCCAGGGTGGCCTGCTCACCCAGGAAACAGGTCTGAAGGTGGAACTGGGTCCACAGCTGCCCCTCTGCCCCGAAATCCACAAGCCAAAAGGCTATTGGCAGAGCACAGGAACTCACTTCCTGGGGACGTTCCGTGGCTTCCGCCCTGAGCCCCTGTGCCCTGGCCAGCCCCTGCCCGCTCAGGGCCTGGTCCTCCTCAGAGACTGACCTGTCGGCTCCCATGCCCAGCTGCTCCCCGCCCTGCCTGCGGCCTTGGTGCTCCCCAGGACACCGTGTCACCTCCAGACCTGCAACTTGGGATGGGTTGTATCCCCAAAAGGTGACTCCAAGTCTGACCCACGCCGGGGCGTGTGACCTCGTCTGGAAGAGGGTCTTGTGGTGTGATCCTCCTAGATCTGGGGTGGGCCGAACCCCGTGACCCACCCTTCCTGGAGACAGAAAAGGGCCGGGTGTCCTGGCCGCACCTGCCTTCCCAGTTACACTGGAGGCTGAGGCAGGAGGATGGCGAGTTTGAGGCCTGGCAAGACCCTGTCTCAAAAAGCTGTGGGGTGTGGCTTAGAGGAGCGCCTGCCCAGGCAGGTGCCAGGCCCTTGTCCAGGCTGCTGAGGTTCAACAGGAGGGTCACGTGAGCCCTCAAGTCTCGGGCAGCCTGAAACGGCACCGGAGCAGGAGCGCGCCCAAGACCGCGGGCAGCCGCCTCAGCCCAGGTCTGAAGAGGCTGTGGTCAGGCTGGGCCACAAGCAGGGGTCTGGGGCCTCCCCTTAGCCCTGCTCCCAGGGCAGCAGCTTTCCCCAGAAGCGGGAGGTCAGGGAGGATGACACAGCGGCCTGCTTGCTGGGCAGCGTGGAGGACGGGCTGGCGTCCTCCCTCTCACCTGCTCACTGCTCAGCCCGGCCTCTGCCCCACAGCAGGGACCTGGGGAGCCTCGCCACTGCCCTGGCCGTCTCTGCATGCAGCCTCCCCCTGGGGCCCTCCAGCCCGGGCCCCCAGAGGCCCTGACTGGGCACCAGGAGCTAGTGGGCAGCACAGGCCCCCTGAGCCCTCCTAGGCCAGGGAGGTGGGTGCGGTGTGGGTTGGGGGAAGAGTCACGTCAGCTTTTAGAAGATTCCCCTTTGAGAGCCTCTTCTGAGTCCCCAGGCTGCCCCCCCCGGGGGGGGGGCATGTGACCAGTCCACTTCACGGAGGAGCTGCAGAGTCGGGACAGCTGGGGCGTGGCCCTAGACGGCTGGCCTCTGAACCGCGGCTCCTCTGCCCGCTCTCGTGCCTCGTCCTGGCCTGTGCCACCCAAGGCCCACGTTCCTCCGCGTGCCCCCTCAGCAGTGGGGACTGTCATTCCCGTGCTCAGCCTGGGAGCATCAGGGTTGAGTGCATTGCTGTGTCCCCCCTCCAGACGGGCCTGGCACCTGTGCCCTGGTCTGTGGTCCTACCTGGGCTCCCGCTTGTCCTCCCCACGACAGCCACCAGAGGGGGCCTGTGAGCACCGAGCCCAGCCCCTTGCTCCTGTCCCACAGCCCCCACGCCCTGGGGGTCGAGGCCCCGTAGCCCACAGGACCCCACAGGACCTGCCCTCCTCCCTCTGCTCCGGCCACACGTCCTGGATGTGCCACCAGCTCCCCAGGGCCCTGCGCAGGCTGAGCTCTGGTGCCGGTGCTCCTGCGGGCCCCTTCCTCCTGAGGTTTCTGCTCCAGCGGCCCCTCCTAGGTGAGGCCGGACCACCCTGCCTCCTGCCTGGAGGTTGAGCCCAGAGACACCCTACCACTGAACTGGCTCCAGCCCTTCCTATATCTGATTTTTTTTTGCAGGGGGGATGAATAACAGGGATTGAGCTCAGGGGCACTCGGCCACCAAGCCCACCCCAGCCCTGTTTTGAATTTTAATCAGAGACGGGTCCCACTGAGTTGCTCAGCGAAGCTCCTTCCCTCCCCACGCCCCCTCCACCCCCACCCTAGTGTCCTGCTCCATCTCCCGGCAGCACAGAGGGCCTCCACCTAGGACCTAAGGGAGTGGCTGGCCACTGGGTCCGGGGCCACGCCTGCCATCCAGCTACTCTGGCTGAGGCACGGGAGGGCCAGTTTCAGGCCACCTGTCAATTTAGTGAGACCCTGTCACAAATACAATCTGAAAGGACAGTGTGTGTGGCTGTGGTTAGCACTTGCCCTCAGAGATGGGGCCCTGGGTTCCAACCCAGCACTGCCGAAAATAGGTGCCCACAATAGGTGCTCAGTAAACGCCAACAAATGAATCAGGCCAGCTATGAGACGTCGGGTGGGTGTTCTCAGGAGAAGCCTGGCGAGTGCCAGGGCCCTGGGGCAGGGAGCGTGTGCGGAGCTGCTGAGGCAGAAGCATTTGTGCTGTGACCACTGCAGGCAGATGGGGGCCTGGGAGCCTCCAATCCTCTTAGCTCAAAGCCCCTTAATACTTCCGCTGCACGGGTCACCTCCGGGCTTCCCTGCTCCAGGTGGCCGCCATGCCGGGGTTGGCGGACCAGGAGGAGACCCAGGACTGGAGCGCTGCCCCCCCGGTGTATGAGGAGTACCGGCCGCCCCCGCTGGACACCATCCGCCTGCCCAGGTACGGGCTGTACCTGCTGATCGCCGCGTTCCTGGTGGTGGCTGTGGCCTACGCCATTGTCGGGCACCTCATCAAAGACCTGGCCCACGACTTGGCCGGTGAGCTACCCACTGCAAGGCTGGCCTGGCTCGGGCTGGCCAGGGAGGGGCAGAGCTGCCGGGGTCCCAGGCCTCCGTGCAGGCCCAGGGAGAGCCGGCAGAGCTCGGGCCCTCCCTGGGCCAGGACGGGTGGAGGGTTTCGGGCCGGAGGTCCTCACCGGCGTCCCTGACGCAGACTGGGCATTCGGCCCGAAGTCAGACCAAGAGGAGACGCCTGGCCGGGAGCGGGCCCCCAGCGTGGCCGGGGAGGACCTGGAGGAACTGGACCTGGCCTGGCAGGACGAGGAGGCCCTCGAGGGCGGTGGACAGGGCGTCCCCTTGGAATCCCCCGCCTGGGACCCCCATCATCCCTCCCTCATCTTCAGGGACCCCCAGGTCCAAAGCTCCTGGAGGCTGGAGTGAGGGGGTCCTGGCCCCAGTTCCAGCCCCTCGGACACTGCGTCTTTGGAACCCGTGGCCCCCAGAGCCTCTACGCCAACCCCCATCCCTGGGGAGAAGCTCCCTCTCAGCTGGAGGGCTTGGTGGCTGGACACTGGCCATGGCCATCTGCCCTGCTTCCCCAGAGCCTGACCCTGCCCAGCCTCCAGCCGGCCCTGCGCGGTCTGTGAATGGGGAGCGTTGAGGCACGGGGACTTAAACCAGCCGTCCGTCTGCCCGTGACTGCTGAGTCAGCCCTGCCCTGCCCCGAGGGCTCCGTCACCCAGCAGGACTGTGGCGTGTGACAGACCGACACCAGGCCACTGAGACCCAGCCAGCCAGAGCAGAGGGCCTTTTGTGGAGCAGCAGCGACGTGGCCCTGCCCCCCCACGCCGTGTCCCCCTCCACAGCTCCCTGTCCCCTCGCTCCGGGCCTGGCTGTCTGGGGCTCCTGGTCGCCTGACTGAGGCCTCCTTCACTTCAGACCTTTGCACAGGGTGGGGCACACAGCAGGGGCTTCATGTATGCCCACCTGGCAGCACGGAGTGGGCCCATGCTTGTCCTGGGCTGTGTGGCTGAGCTCCAGGACAGCTCTGTTCAGGGGCCCGTCTGCCCATAAGTTGTGGTCAGACCTCTGGGACACAGGACTCCTGTGTAGACAGTAGGTGCTCATACGTGTATGTCACAGGCTTTGGGCATGCTTTCACGTGCCAGGGCCGTGGCTGCTCCCGTGGCGACTGGGGCAGGGCCCTCCTTGGCCTGGGCAGGGCTGACTCTAATCGACCTAAGGACCTAGGCCGAGGTCAGAGAGTCATGTGCGGTCCCTGGTGTCCCCGTCCTCAGCCAGTAGAGCAGCCCAACCTGGCGGTGCCTGGTGGGCAGGTGGCCCGGGGCTGACTGCATGCTAGTGGCACAGGCTGGTCACTGCTGGCTGCCGCCTGCCGCGTCCCCTGGCTGCGGCTGCCTGGGGCTGCCCTGGCTCTGTGCTGAGGGCTGGCAGAATGTCGTGGGTCACCAAGAGAAGGAGAGGGAGGACGTGCCAGTCACCAGCCAGGAGCCTGAGAGCCCCACCCTGGCCTCGGCACCCCCCACAACAGGGTGCGGGGACGGCTGCAGAGGGGGTGGCCCTGGGCGGATGGCCCTCAGGGCGGGGTGCAGGGGAGGGGCCGGCTCCCCAGTTAATGTCACACCAGGTCCAGAGTCTGCTGGGGGTGCTGGGGGCAGGAGCCAGTCAGGTGCCCAGGGAGGGGAGGAGGGCCCCTGCCAGGCCCGCCTGCCACCGTCACCCGCAGGGGATCCCTGCTCCGCAGCACTCGGCCCTGAGTTCTGGCTCGCGCTCAGCCATGAAGACCCTGGGGACGCTGGTCGTACTGGGAGCCTGGCTCCTGCCACCTGCCCAGGCCCAGGGTAGGCTCTCGGGGTTCTCCAGGATGCGAAATGGCGGCCTTGGGAGGGCACCCAGGCCCGCAGCGCCCCACCCCCACCCTCTCAGCCGCCTTCAAGCCCCACAGGGGCCTCTATCCCCACCCCAGCCTCCCCTCTCCCAACACCACTCGGTCCCCTCTGAACCCCCTCCTCCCTCTGCAACCCTCCTCTGAACCCCTTCCCCCTTTGAGCCCCCTCCCCCTCTGAACCCCCTCCTGAGCACCTGCTCCCTGGCAGCCCCTGAGCGGCGGCTGAAGCCCTGGCTGGTGGGCCTGGCGGCGGTGGTGGGCTTCCTGTTCATCGTCTTCGTCCTCATGCTGGCCAACCGCATCTGGTGCTCCAAGGCCAGGTGGGCCCCGACCCTGCCCAGGGCCCTGCCCCTTCCCGTCTCTAGCCCAGGCTCCCCCAAGGGCTCCCCACCCCAGCTTCCTGGCCCTCTCTGGTTCCCTCCCCAGGGCCAGCTCATGTCCCCAGGTCCCCTCATTTCCCCCTCCTGGGACTGACCCGGGCAGCCCACCCTTCCTGCGCCCCGGGGGGGGGGGGGCTGGGCTGAGGCTGCCCTCAGGGTCCCAGCCTCCCCTCCCTGCCTCCCCTCTGCAGAGCTGAGGACCAGGCGGACGCCGTGAGGATGGAGCCTAATGTGTACCAGGACGTGAACCCCAGGTGTGCCCGAGGGCCCACTCCCACCCGAGGCTCGCCCGCATCCCCACAGGCCCTCTGCATGCTGCCCCTGGCTGGGACACTATCCCCGCTGTCCTCCCTCGGCCTCTGCCCAGGGCTTTGCTCCAAAGGTCCCCCCGGCCATCCTCCGTCCTCCCTCCCTCCCTCCCTCCGCTTCTCTCTTCTCCACGCTTAACCGCGGCTGGCACCCTCCTGGCCGTCCCTTGGTGTCACTCAGGTGATGGCTTCCAGAGCTTAGTTCTGCTGTCTCCCGTTGAGCAGGACCCCGGGGCGAGGCTACGTCGGTGGCCGTCCTGGACCTCTGCTGCCCGCTTCCAGGCCTGCGAGTCTTGCGGGGGCTCGGGGTGCAGCAGGCCTGGGGCTCTGCAGGGCCAGATCGCAGCTGGACCAGGCCTAGGGCAGCACAGGGGGTGGGAGGGAGGAGACCAGCCTGAGAGTCAGCGGCCCAGGACAGGCCCGAGGGAGGAAAGGGGACTCCTGCCCCCAAGATGTGCTGGCGAGGCCAGTGTCCCCTGCCCGCCGACTGGCCTCCCGGTCCCGCCCACTCCGCACCCACCGCACCACCTCTGTGCCCACCCACTGCACCACCTATGGACTGTCCACCCACCTGCTCACGTTGTTCACCCACCGTCTTCCACCCAGCCACCCGGCCACTCGGGTGTCAGCCTGCTGGTGCCATCTAGGCCCTCAGCCGTCCAGCAGTCCTCCTGCTGGCCCAGATGTGTCCCTCACACTCCCGCCTTGCCCCGCGGCCCTCCCTCCTGCTGCTCGGCCCGCACAGCCCTCCTGGCTGTCCACCTGCCCACTAGCCTGTTGATCCAGCTCCCGCCTACGCTGCGTGCACCCGTCCTCCTCTACCACCCCTCTCCTTCCTGCACGCCCACCCTCACCCCGTGCCGACCCTGCCCATCACCCCATCCGCCCTGCCAGCCGCCACCTGTCCCCTGTCCACCACCCCCGCCCACTCATCCACAGTGGTACTCGCAGGGCTGCCTGGCCGGCCACCGTGGGGGGATAGGGAGCAGGGCAGGCAGCTGGTCCTCACTGTCCTGGGCCTTCCCCCCACAGGGAGGGAGGCGGGAAGAAGAAGGGGAGGAAGAAGGACCAGGAGGGCGGGGAGCACAACCTGGGGCTGGAGCTGGCCGAGGACCTGGAGGCGGCCAAGAGGACGGCCCTGTGAGGAGCCTGCACCGGGAGCCCTGCCACGTCCTGCACGCCACCGGGATCCAGAGTGCTGTGTCCCCAGAGAAGAGGGCTGTCCTGTCCCCCAGGAGGGCTCCCATAGGACCTGGACTCGGCGTCCTGGCCACCTGGGTCCTGCCCTGTGACTCCTCCTCCTCCATGCGCCCTGGCCAGGGAGAGACTTCCAAGTCCCCACAGTCTCATGCGCCACCTGTTCCTACCACTGCCTACTTCCTTCCCCTCCGCCCGCTGTTGGGCCAGACGTGCCTCCCCAGAGGCATGGGGCAGGGTCCCAGGTTTCCTCCAAGGGCTCCAATAAACCACCTGCAGGACCTTCAAAGGCCTCTCCAGTCTCGGCTCCCCTAGGGACGCGGCCGCCTGGGGCAGCCCTGGTGGGTGTGAGGCGCTGTGGCCGGGCCAGGTGCCAGGGCATTAAGCACTCTGTGCCGTCTTGGTGTTGCGCCCTGAGCCCTGGACTTTGAGCCCCCACAGCGTCTCCTGGGAAGTCCTCGCTCCCTGCCCACCCTGTGTTGTGGGGCACATGATGGTTTCCGAGAGCTGGTCACCCGTGTGGAGGGCCCCAGGGCCTTGCCGTATCTTGGGAAGGGCTGAGCACCTTCTGTCTCCGCCCCACCACCCATTCCCCTCTTCTCCCTTTCCACTCTCTCTGCTCTGGACTTTGACCCCTCTGCCACCGCCCATGTGGCCTCCTCCTCCTCCTGCTCCTCC